TGAAAATACCATCGTTATAACGAACTTTGCGATTTTTAGAATAACGAACTACCCCTATAACGAACCTATTTCGGGTCCCAAAATGATAAAATCTATTAAAAATACTATGCTTATAACGAACTTAGAATTGTAATTTAAAAAAAAAATTAAAAAACAAAATTTTGAGCATGTTTAAAGCTCGCGGATCGCGATTTCAAAACAATAAATTTAGCGGCATTGTTTGTTTGATTTTTGCACTTTATTTTTGCTGTATGTTGTATAAATTTTTACACATTATACTTTTTATTAATTAGAATATCTTTGCATCCATTAAATTTGAAATATAAAAAATGCAAATGGCTTCCAAAATGAAGAAAACAAAGGCATTTTAAAAACAAAAGCATTATTTCTTAAAAAAAAAAAAAGGCCATTTTCAGAACTTTTCAAAGTGAAACAACATAGGCAAAATGTTAAGAACATATTAAAATAAGAGAATATAACTTTTCTATTATAAAAGATAAAATATAAAGTTATTAACCCTTAACTGGACGGGTGATTTTTTCTTACGTAACTGGACGGGGTGGGTAGATTCAACCCACTTATGTACCTTTACGAAATAAGCGCTAAATAATGAATTAAATCAATATTTGAAAGATTATTTAATGATTACAAATGTTAATATACAGATTTTGACTTCTAAAAATTCTAAATATAATCTATTTACAGTTTTCACAAATAATTAAGAAATGTTTTTTACAGACGCTTAATTGACATACAGAGCATAAGGTTTTCACTTTTCCCGCATTTTTTGATGGACATTTGTAGCACCTTTTTGGAGTATCAGATTCTTGTGGCATCGTAGATCCTCTTGATGTACTTGAACCATCATTATTTTTTGAATTTTTTTATTGTCGTCTGTAATTCCAGCGGGAGGGAATTTAGATTACGTGTGGCCAGGTGTTCATCAATCAAGGATCTCCCAAGATCAACAATAAAGGTACTTCTTTCTTTTTGATCCTTTTTATCAATCTGATAGTTGAAGATGATGTAAGAATTCAGAGCTGTGATATCTAAAAGGGCATAAAAAAGTGCCAAAGGCCATCTTCTGGATCGACAAGAGGTAGAAAAATTAGAGACCATTTGGTCAATGGTATCTACACTTCCTTTTGTTAGATTATAATCCATTATAATGTCAGGTTTTCCTGTTGTTTTATCACATTTATTGTCATGATGCATCGAAGATATAAGGATTACTGATTTTCTTTTTTTGGGAACATAGGAGACTAAAGTTTTTGTTCCAGAGAAACCAAAAATAGATGTTCCTGATTCTCTTTTAGGATGCGGTTGGAATTGTGGTGGAATCTGAGGTTTGTTCTTTCTCATCGTTCCTAAATATGTAAGGCCATGTTCTTTCAACTTATCAACTAATTCTATTGAAGTAAACCAGTTGTCTGCTGTAATATTTCTATTACTCTTCCAAAGTGGTCGACTAATATCTAAAACTATTTGTGTTGGCAGGGATAGTTCTTTTGACTTTGGAGTTTTAGATTTTCCTGTATATACCATTGCATTATACATATAATGTGTTCTTGAGTCTGCTAGTATCACTATTTTTATATCATATTTATTAGGTTTTGAGGGTATATAAATTTTGAATGGACATTTTCCCCGAAACCCTACAAGCATTTCGTCAACAGTAAGGTATTCAGCAGGTGTATAACAACTTTGAAAATTTTCAATAATGGTTTGGAAAATATCTCTTATGGGTGAGAGTCTATCTACTTTGCATCTTGTCTTGAAATTATCAAATCTAATACAAAGTAATAGAAAAAGGAAACGCTTCACACTCATTACAGAGCGAAAAATGTCACGGCCTGTTCCATCAGAGGCAAACAAAGATTCTACATTTTCATGACCTGATTTGTAAACTCCAGCTAGATACAACAAACCTAAGAATGCTCTTATTTCTATTTCACTTGTAAAATTTGAGTAAGTACTTTTGTTCAAATCTGAAATTCTTTGGCGAAATTCTTCAATTTTTGCATTTGTAAATTCAGATATTTGTTTTATAATTGCGGCAGTAAAAAATAAGTTGAATATATCAATGCTACAATTTGGCTTCGGTTTAGCAGGGCCTTTCAGACCAGGTAAGTGTGTAATTATGTTATGAGAACGGGTTCTTCCAATTATTGCATGATTCTTGTTCCACTTATAGCCATTTTTCCCAATGAAACAATTACTTGAAGACATTTGAACAGTGGTAAGAATTGAATCACATTCCTCATCTGTACTGACATCTGAAGATTCGTTCAATGAATAATTTTCAGTTTCAGAATCATCGTCAAAATTCTTATTCAAAATTTCGTCTTCCATTATAAATAGAATTTCAAAAATAAAAAGTCTTACCTTGATAAAAAAAAATTAAGGAAGTTGTTTTTTTTTTAATCTAAAAGAATAAATTCTACTTAGCCAAAGAAAGAAGTCTTATTTTATGAATGGAAGCTAAAAAATAGCGGAAGAAAGCGACTCGAGAATGAGCAATCAGCTATAACCCTAACATGAAAAATTCTCACGCTTCTGGACGGCATGGGCGGAATCCGCCCACACATGCAAATTTAACCGCCCTCCCAAAACTTATATTTTTAAACGATGAATGGAAATTGTTTGTATCACTGTAAAATTAGAATACACCAAAGCTGTTAGCTCTCAGTAAACGAAAAATATATTTTTTTCCTATATTAAGTTTATGCATGGGCGGAATCTACCCAACCCGTCCAGTTAAGGGTTAAAAATTGTTACAAAGAGGAATCAACTTCAACTTTTGCCGCGATCGCGATCGTACGTTTTAGGGCTAAAAAAAAAAAAAAGTCCAAATAAACGGTCCCGTGATGAAACAAAAATTATTTTTATGCCATTAACTATGGTGATTTTAAAGTCAGCAATGTTTTGCATGGCAGGTTAAAAAAAAAAAAACGAAATCTAGACCTAGAAGAATATGGGGAAACATGAAATGGAAGAAAAACACTAACTTTATTTGAATGGTGCAATGCTTGGAAGAATGCTTTGAAACAACAAGGTATTAGAGCCATTTTTTCAAGTAAAAATTGTATTATATAATGTGATAATGATGTTTTAAAATCATTTCATATCTTTGAATATATATTTAATAAAACTTTGCCTAGGATTTGTCTTGATTTTTAACTTAGACATAGAGGTACATGTATGTTAATCATAAGAAGAACCTATTATCTAATGATTTCTATTATTATTCAGTATTAATATAAGGAAATTAGTCAATTAAGGGAATTAAAATAAAGTGACCACTATTAAGAGGCAGCCTCTACTTGTGTGTAAGGCTGTTTTTTAATTATACAGTCTAAAATTTTTGAAAAGTAAAAAAAAATAGCCAAACCGTGGCTATAGTGAACCGTGACTATAGTGAACCAAAAGCTCTGTCCCATTGGGGTTCACTATAGAGGGGTTTTACTGTACGTTCAAACGTACCAAATAAGTTGAATATTCGTTTTTTTATTACTCTTGCTTTAATTATCTGCATTCTAAATTGTGTTTTGTGATTGTAATTTTGTATAATATAATAGAAGTTCGGTTCCACTTTTGGTTTTTCAAAAACAAAACTTTGGTATCCTATGTCCCTAAAATTGGAAAAACTGTTACATTACTCTCCACAAAGCATTCAACCACAACAATTGATCAAGAAACTGCTGAACAACAAAAGCCCGAGATAATCACATAATATGACCAAAGGTGGTGTGGATGTAGTTGATCAGAAATGTGCCATGTATTCTGTTGGAAGAAGAACCAAAATATGGCCCCTGTATTTATTTTTTAACTTTTACGATGTGGTTGCAATAAATTCAGCAGTAATTTATAAAGTTGTCAATCAAGACGGTGGAATGGCTCGAAAATATTTTATAAAGCAGCTTGCTCTACAACTAATGAGAGATGCCTTGAATATGAGAAATCAAGCCAAAATTTGTCAAGAGATCTGCAAGTATTAATTCAGAAGCATGCTGGAACTTCATCACTTGAGGTAGGCAAATATTTATTTGATGTTTATACGAAATACCAATAACGTGTGTTCTCTAGGAATCCACAAGCAGCAGTCCTTGTCCCAAGAAACGCAAAAGATGCTACCTATGTAAAAAAGATCATCGAACTCAAATGCAATGCAAAAAATGCAAAGAGCCAATCTGCAAAGATCATTCTTTCGAAATATGCTTGAATTGTGCACCTAATCTTGAATAAAATATTTTAGATAGAATATTTTATAATATATATATAGAATATTTCAGATATTTAGATAGAAAGAGTTTCTTGTAAATTTTCATTTAATTTTGTTTAGAGCTCTGTTTATTCGAAAAAAACAAAATATTTATTCTTTGGAAATTATGTGTATACGTTTAATTTCTTTTTAATATTATAATTAACATGGTTTATTATTGATTTTAAAAGTCGGCCTGAGAGGCCGAACGCCAGTAATTGTGTAACGAAATTAGGCGCCAGTAACTAAGGGTTAAACGGCTGAGGTCATGTGATGCTCTTGAACAACAGTGTGATTAGCTGTCACTGTAATGATGAGGGCCACATAGCTCGAAACCCTGGCTGTGCTGTGGAACATCCTGAACAACATGTCTGGCACATACAGTATAACCTACAATACAGTATAACCTAAAATACATATTATTAAATGTATTGACTCATCCATTGATGAGCTCTACTCTTCCCCGGCAGACACCATCAAAAATCTCAAGCTTTACAAGCTTGATACCTTAGTGTAATTGAGTGGAGATAAGAAAGAAGAAGAAGAAGATAACCTATAATACAGTATAACACCTATAATACAGTATAACACCTATAATACAGTATAACACCTATAATACAGTATAACACGTCAAATATCAACATTTTACCTTTAGGAACACAAAGTGAGATAAGAGGAGAAAATATCTTTATTTACAGGGCTGCAAACCAAAATAAAATGATTTTTGAGCCCCGAAAAGTGCCGAAACCTGGGATCGAACCAGGGACCTTTAGATCTTCAGTCTAAGGTCTCAGAAAGTGAGATAAGACCAAATAGTTATATGGATTTACTCTGTGTATCTAATCTATAATCTAAATTGTATCTTATCATTTTACCTCTATTTACCTAGATAAGGCACAATTTGATTATAGATTATAAACACAAAGTAATAACACCAAATCTAAATAAATAGTACATTTCGGTTACAGTGTTGTTACCATCTTCAGACAAAAGTACTGAATAAGTTTTCAGAGAATTTTTCATGAGAATTCAGTACTTTTGTCTGAAGATGGTAACAACGATGTTACCAAAACTTAGTATTTATTTATTTGCAGACGCATTCTACTTCACCCAATCATGATGGTTGTCAAGCTTGACACCCTAATATGATTGGGTGGAGATAAGAAAGAAGGAGAAGGCTATTTATTTGCATTTGGTATTATTACCTTGTGTTTATTTACCTTATTCCTCCGAGATTCATTAACACCATATTGAGACGGCTCAAGTTTTATCTATTGACTATATAATTTATTTGTGGGTTAATTGGAAACCATTTGAATATAAAAATGTATGGATCCCATCTCTTTATAGTTCTATGCTGCACATGTATTGAAACTTCATCAGTGTTTGCTTGATAACTTAACCTATCCCAACCTAACCTAATCCCAACCTAACCTAACTTAACCTATCCTAACCTAACCTATCCCAACCTAACCTATACCAACCTAACCTAACTTAACCTATCCCAACCAGAAGGAAACAGCCATTATTCTGACGGATAAATGCTTCCATCAGTGATCTGGGAATAAGCTTTGACCCTTGGCAGGGATCGTAGCTCCACTTCCTTATTGCAAACCTAACCAAAACTAACCAAACTTATTTATAATTTCTATACACACATTTCCCATATTAGCAAAAACAAACAGCTAATGCTCACTCAGTGCCCTAAACAATGGAATCTATAGATATAAGTTCTACTAGTCATTTTAAAATGAGTTGAGGAAATACTATCAATTGCTGATATTGTGATGATACCTTAATTTTTATAGAAAAAACTGGGTTTCTACTTAAAATGCAGTGCTATACATTTGTGTGAAATACATTTTAACATGACCATTTCAAATTATTTTATAGAAGGATGAAATAAAATAGGTAGGGTTAAAAATTGGATAGAATGAAAACTAAGATTATCTGATGAATCTAAATATACTCCCTCCCTACTAGCGAAACATTTTATATATATATAGCATTTATGCAGAGTTTGCTTCTTTTTAGAACCAATGCTATTTGGAATTAGTGCATAGATGAAAATTCCACGTCAATAGAGGTTCAACACAAATTTTACAATAATTTTTTATGGGAACAATATTTTTTTCGCTATATAAATTATATATAGATAAATTAAAATTTTAGAAGTGTGATAGAAAGTGCTAAAATAAGTTAATAAAATTAACATACATTGAAAATAACTTGACGGCAATTCCTCCACATGTTTTAGTGATTATAATTTGATAAATATTTTAAATTTTATATTTTTAAGGTTTGATTTTTGTAAACCAATCTCACTTCCAGATTTACTATAAAAACAGGAAAATAACAAAAAGACGGCAAGGTTGTGATGATGATCTAGGGCTCTTTTTAAAATCATAGAATTATAAATTTCTTGCTAATTTGAAATAAGCGCAGAGCATTTTCAATATATTTGTTGATATTGATGTGTTTATATAATATATATATTTTTTATGTTTCAAACATTCCTGCCTGTTAAAATAAATATAGTTATTCGATTTAAAAAATTATAATAAAATGAATGGTTTTAATTCTTCAATCTGAAACTAAATGTTTCTGTTTTAAACCATTACAAATTTGTGTAATTACGATAAGAATGTGAATAACGGAAAAGTTCCAGGAATTTTAAATGTGTTTTAAGAGCATAAAAATTCCTCATAAACAAACAAATTCTATAAACTAATAATAATTTTTAGAAAATTTATAATATCTTGCTATCTTATTTGGCAAAAAAAAAAATCATCCAAGGATCAGTCTCATATAAATCTTTTAATATCTCTAGTTTTCGAGCATTAAATGTATAAATCATCTTTGTTTCTAAAAGGCGGCTGTTTCAATATATATGTGCGTGTATAGTTATTTCAAAATACTCCTATTGAAGTCCTTCAAAGCCTTATAAAGCTAGAGATATTAAAATATGTATATATAAGACGTGATTTTTGCTAAATAATATTGATAGATTTTTCATTAAGTCAATAAAAATGAACTTAAGTAAAAAATTACAACAAAGGTTTAATTTGTTTCTTTTGGCTTCAATACAATATGTAGAATAAAAATATGGTGCTTGCACTCTTTCCCTTTGAAATATCGTCCCAGGATCTCGTTAATGCCGTTTTCAACGAGTCCTCAGGAATGTATTATGCTCCTGAAATTGTTTGCTTTAGGATGGACTACAAAGAAGAGTCCATCTGGTTGAGATCCATCAATTCCAAACGTTTTTGCTCCAAAAGCCTGGAAGCGTTATCTCACAGACACAAGCCAGCACCCAGTCTTGCTGAAGCATAAATCCATTTGGGCCGAGATTTCGCGATACTCATGACTAAAACTTTTTGCTGATAGAAAATTGCGTTGATTTTGATGCTTTGTTGATGAAGACCTCAGCATCATGTCTCAGGTGGTGAAGATGCCAGACCATAATTGAATCAGGGCAAGGGCTGAGACTGTAGCGGACGCATATATATATATATATATATATATATATATATATATATATATATATATAATTCATTAATTGTTTTTTTTATGGATTTTAAAATTTCTATTTATTAATATACAAAACTTTTAAAATTATTTATTCTCCCAAAAATATTTTTAAATATATGATTTAATGTAAATTAGGAAGAGTAAAAAAAGGCAAATATTGCCATCAATAGAGAGTCGATTTTATTTTTAGCATTGATGCCAAGCTCTTTCGTTTTCTTAGATTCCCTCGCCCATTATATTCTAATCAGCTTCTATTATAAAAATATGTACATCATCAAATGGTGAGCCACCATATGCATAGGAATAGAAGTCAAGCAACTCTTGAACCCTCTCTGTTACAAAGCATCTGACAGTGGTTTTGGCACTTGTGGAAGGTTCGACTTCAGCAAGCGAGGAGACAATTCTCGAGTCGTTTTACTTTTATTGTTTCGTTCAAAAGTGAATGCGGCCGATCTTGTAGCTACGCAGCTTCAGTTTATTCTAAATGATGTTTCGAACGCCTAACTCGCTGATCCCGAGCTCCTTTTCGATTTCGTGCATCGCTCCATATTTAGTTGAATTTAAAAGTGAACCTTCTAGATGTATGTAATCTGGCGTTCTCAAAGCGGATGTACGACCGTTCCGAGAACGTTTCGAGTTGAAATCTTGGAGTATTTCGCGGAAAATGTAGTTTACAGCACCCATGGTCTCAAACTTTCCTCATTGATAATCACTTTACCTTGCTTAACCAACTCAGTATCTCCAACAAAATGTCATGTAAAAATGAGGGACGACAAACATATTGTGGCGAAGAAATATTTTATTATTTAATTTAATATTATTCAATGAAAATATATTCAACAGATTATAAAAATATATATTAATCTGTATTTGTGAAATCATCTTTAAAATATTTCTTTGCTTGCTTGCTTAAGATTCTCTAGCTGTAAAATGGTTTTGGGCTGACTTGTTAATAATTGTCGACTTGTCGCTGTGACGTCATCAATAAATACTTTTACATCTTAGGATATTTCAAGGCTTGATTTCTACGCTACAACTGGTGAAGAAGCTGGACCGATACCCATTAAGAAATAAAAGAAAAATTGATTCTGTTGAACCAGAAGAAACTTCTATGAATGTAAAGACGGAAGCAGGTACCCAGGTAAGCAACTACGTTGTTCAACATCTGCCAAGGAACCCTTCCATTTTCTCCGGGGAGGATGGTGAAGATCTCCAAAAATGGTTGAAAGGGTATGCACGTGTGGCAAAGTACAACCATTGGGACGAAACCCTTTGTCTTACTAAAGTTTATTTTTATCTGTCTGGAACTGCTCTCAAATGGTTTGAGAACAACGAAGAAAGCATCCAGACTTGGAAGGAATTCACATCTCAATTAGAGAATGTGTTCGGAAAAAAAGAAAATTCAAAATTGCAAGCTGAGAAGAAACTTAAAACACGGGCACAATTAAAAGGCGAAAGTACCGAATTTTACATCCAGGATGTCCTTTGCTTGTGCAAAGAGGCTGATCTTCAAATGAGCGAGGAAGATAAAATCTCGCACCTCATGAAGGGGATTGCTGAGGAGCTTTATCAAGCACTCCTACCGAGGGATGTACAGAGCACCGAGCAATTCATTACAGAATGTCGCCGTGTTGAAGCGCTCCGTTGTAGGCGAGTTACCCCAACTAAGTACGAGCGTCTACCAAATGTAGCCTCTCTCTGTGACCAGGATTACGGAGAAGATCTGTCATCGCTGATCCGAAAAATTGTTCGTGAAGAGATAAAGCAAGTATTGGACTCTCCTCATGAGGAGCCTAAAATCGCCCTCATTGAAGATTTAGTGAGGGAAGAGATTGTAAAGACCTTGGCACCTAGATCAAAACCTACAATAAGTCCCCCTCAAGCAACCAGGCCGGAACCAAATACTAGATACGAGGCCCAAACGATACGACCGCATCCTGAACCTCATTACCGAAAGCAAGGAAGAAGATGTGACACCAATGAATGGCGGACAACTGAGGGAAAGCCAATCTGTTTCTACTGCGGACGCCCAGGTCACGTCGTCCGTTATTGCCGCGACAGGAAGAGACACAATGAGGAGAGAAGAAATGAATATTTCCGAAGAAAGAAAGACGCAAAGGAATTCTACAACTCTCAAACCGAATCTCAGGAACCCAACGATGAATCATCGAGGTAAAAGTTAAGTCGCTACCGAAGCCCTACCCCATATACCGGTCGAAACAGACAAAATTTCTCACCTGCTAGAAGATCTAGCTGGTCGCCCCGCCATGAAAATTAGATGATAGACCATATTGGAGGTGAGGCCGCAAAGTTAAGAAATCCTACCTTGCCGACCACATTATAAATAAGAAAAAACTACATTGACGTAAATATAGACCTGCCAAGCCCTCAGGAAGAAGTTATCTCAACTGAAAGAAGACATCCCCACTGAACGAACACAACAACCACAGACCCGCGAAGAGATCACAAGCCCTATCACCCGTTCTCGAGCCTTGAGACTGAGGATGTAAGTCTCCTTCTGAGCATCGGGTCGATGCTCTTTATAGGAGGAGGCTATGTGGCGAAGAAATATTTTATTATTTAATTTAATATTATTCAATGAAAATATATTCAACAGATTATAAAAATATATATTAATCTGTATTTGTGAAATCATCTTTAAAATATTTCTTTGCTTGCTTGCTTAAGATTCTCTAGCTGTAAAATGGTTTTGGGCTGACTTGTTAATAATTGTCGACTTGTCGCTGTGACGTCATCAATAAATACTTTTACATCTTAGGATATTTCAAGGCTTGATTTCTACGCTACAATATGAATGACAATGGAATTTATTTCTATTAAAACCAATCAGAGGTTTCATATAGAATAAAGAGGCATGATACAAATTTTCAGAGTAACAAAAATTGAAATTAATATTCTGTTGATTAAATAAAATATCCATTACTTTAATTTCCCAATTTTACTAAAATTATATAGTAGTTATATATAGTATCACCTATCCCCCGATTTATACGGTACTTGTTTTACACGTTTTCGCTTTTACACGGTTTTCCAAATAATTTTTGTTTTTTGTTTTTATCGCACTATACTAAAATGCGACATTCTACTCTATGTTGAAAAAAATATTGGGAGGCTCTGATTCATGAGGGGACGAACACCTATTCAGATTTGACAGTTTAATATACACCTATCCCTCGATTTACACGTTTTTCTCAGGAACGTATCTACCGTGTAAATCGGGGGATAGGTGTATTAAATAATTAAAATTATATATGTTTATTTAGAATGAATAATACCATTGCTCGTTTGTTCAATCAGTATTCTCTTTACACAGAATTTGAATTAAAAATAACTGCCGACTGATAAGTAGCACAGGAATCAGGGTTATCTACATGTCATATCAACTAATCAGCATTTCAAATACAGAGATTCCAGACGGCTACACTCCTTGAACTCCCCTTATTCAACAGAACTTTACTTTTAAATCTAGCAAGAAACAAACCGGCCTGAAAACACTTAGTGAACTAGTTCACTAAGGAAAGCAAGACTTCTAAACTTAAGTACAGCCCGGATAGTTGGCGATCTATGGATATATTGAGGTAGCCTGGGCTACTTATATGTTATTACTACTACACGTTATAGTCAATTAAGTAAAATACGGAGACTACTTCTATCAATGCTACCAAACATCAAGCATGGATCGATCTCAACAACAAGTATGGTCCCATTCAGGTTGACTATATACGAAAACTCTTGCCAATTATACAATAGTAAATTAGAAAATAAAACTTTTGCGGAGCAGTTAATTAAGTATTTAAAATATATTTTATGAAATTTCTCTCAGACACTATGAATTGTATTGTGTCTGTGAAAGAAGAACCAATTTTGCCTCATTGTCAAGGCAAAGTCCAAACCGTGGAGTACTTTCTTTTCACTTGTCAAACTTTCCAATACCAAATATTCCAGGCCGCCGCTCTCCTGGGAATCATAAATCTATACCCAGCAGGATTCTAAAGTATAAGTGGCTGCATTACTTGCCACCATGTCCGCTCATTCGTTGCTATCTACCCTACTTTGGCCCTCGTACCAAAAAAAAAAAAAAAAAGAGGTTAATAACAAGATAATTTATTCTATTAAGGATGATTTTTTCTGGATCGGAGGTTCAGATTACTGCGAGAGTGGGTCTGCAGTCTTAAACAATAGTCACTCCGGCCTTTTCCAGAATGTTTCTGGCAAAGGTGAACGATCCAGAGAACAGCAATGATTTCAGCTTGGAACACTGTAAAGTATAACGAAAATTGAAATTATACCGCGAATGTTTATTTTATAAAAATCGAAATTTATTTTCAAAGAGAAATAGCGACATTTCTAACTTTGAGGATGAGGTATGGAAAGGTGAAACATGAAGAGCAATGGCGAACGGAAAAATAAAAAGTGTCCAGGGGCGGGAATCGAACCCACACCCTTCTGCTTACCGGGCAGGTGCCTTGTCCACAAATACGTCCAGGGTAGCCGAGTGGACAAGGCACCTGCCCGGTAAGCAGAAGGGTGTGGGTTCGATTCCCGCCCCTGGACACTTTTTATTTTTCCGTTCGCCATTGCTCTTCATGTTTCACCTTTCCATACCTCATCCTCAAAGTTAGAAATGTCGCTATTTCTCTTTGAAAATAAATTTCGATTTTTATAAAATAAACATTCGCGGTATAATTTCAATTTTCGTTTTACAATCATCAGCCGCGTTATATTGTATTTTAAATTGTTACTTTAAATATAAGTTACGAACGGAAAAATACGTCCAGGGTAGCCGAGTGGACAAGGCACCTGCCCGGTAAGCAGAAGGGTGTGGGTTCGATTCCCGCCCCTGGACACTTTTTATTTTTCCGTTCGCCATTACTCTTCATGTTTCACCTTTCCATACCTCATCCTCAAAGTTAGAAATGTCGCTATTTCTCTTTGAAAATAAATTTCGATTTTTATAAAATAAACATTCGCGGTATAATTTCAATTTTCGTTTTACAATCATCAGCCGCGTTATATTGTATTTTAAATTGTTACTTTAAATATAAGTTACGAACGGAAAAATACGTCCAGGGTAGCCGAGTGGACAAGGCACCTGCCCGGTAAGCAGAAGGGTGTGGGTTCGATTTCCCGCCCCTGGACACTTTTTATTTTTCCGTTCGCCATTGCTCTTCATGTTTCACCTTTCCATACCTCATCCTCAAAGTTAGAAATGTCGCTATTTCTCTTTGAAAATAAATTTCGATTTTTATAAATAAACATTCGCGGTATAATTTCAATTTTCGTTTTACAATCATCAGCCGCGTTATATTGTATTTTAAACTGTAAAGTATAGCAGGAAAATATCGGTTGGTATTCTTAGGCAAGAAGGGCAACGTCAACTTATAAATAACTTTCCGATCTATCTGTGAAGATCAAAGGTGACTTAAAATCTTCAAGGATTAGGCTGAAGAAAGAGGCTTTATGAATGGGGAGTTTAGCAGCGCGGCAGGGTCAGGTTCGAATTTGGAAAGTATGGATGATGATATCGAAAGAAAGGCTGCCTGTTAAGGTGATGGCTGGGATGGTTGGAGTGCATGGACGCCCCCTCAATTTAACGCATTGTAAGGTGTAATGGAGGTTATTCAGATGCCAGATTCCTCACAGGGAAAACGCCTGACACATCCTCAGAAAAACCTTTCATAGATGAAGGCAGGGATCACTAAAGACCGGAAAATAATGTTGACATATAAATACAAAATTCCAAATAAATTCCTTAGATTTATGAGAATGACAAAGCCTCATGTCTTATCGAAGTTCATTCCTAAAATAAGTCTTTCCGATGGTGATGAGCTGGCCGAGAACTCTGATCATCAAATTCAAATGGATGCCATTTTCCCTGCACTAAGAAGTTAATATTCTTAATAGAGCGTAACCCAGATTATTTTTTTCAGCAAGTTTTTAATAAAATTTAAATCAATCAAATGGGGTTTATGATTATCAACATAGTTTGTTCTTGCCTTAAATAAATTGCTATGTACATCCTGAAGTTTGCCTTCCCTAATTTTACACGTGGCATTTTGATGGAGATGCTGGGTAAATTAGGGAATACAAACTGAAGATCACCGAGAAGGCCTTGAGGCCATGGGTGCTGTGATATACACATTGAGAGACTGGCTCCAGGATTCCACCGCCGTGTCAAAGCCAAGACTTCTCTCCAAGATGACGATGTCCCTATAGACGATACCACCACCTCTAGTATGCGAGCAGCTAATGCTTTGCCAGATGTTCCATTTTTATAGTTGAGATTCTGTTTCAAGTTCGAGATCCAACTTTCTATCGAATGTCAGCTCTTTTTCTCGAGATTCCCCGATCCCTTCTCTCAGACACACAACGAAGCTTTCCTACTTCTCTGGAATGAGAGCAAGAAACAGCACTATAGACCTGGGTTGGGATTGTTATTTGTTTGTTTGAAAACTCTCAGTTGTGTGGGAGCTATTCCGGTGTGAATATTCCCTCCCAAACTTACCTCATAATAAAATAATTTTCATAATTTGAAATTCTTATTTATTTTGTTTCTTAAGGAAATAAAAATGTTGAATTTTTCACATTCACTATTATGTTTTCACACATGTTATGTTTATAAATATAACGTTGAGGTTACTTGTAGTATAATTAAAGTTGTATCATAAACAGTTATTTGCCATATATAAAGTGGGATTGTCTTCACCATCCTAGTTCCAATATCTGAGATGTAGCCGCCGGACTTCCTCGATCTCTGGAAAGATTTAGCAGGGACTCGTAGGATGTGATCTACATACCTTTACTTTCTGAGGGTAATATTGTAATAAATTTGAATAAATTGAATAATTTGAATAAATGGTTAATTATGATTATATTCTATTGGAGATTCTTTGTTAATTAATAACAGTCTAAGATACTACAATCCCCCGGTAATGAACATAGAATGATGACAAGTCATGACACACAGATGTTAGTATTGGACGGTCTTTAACAGCGAAGGTAGGGATGATGTTCAAGTCAGTCTTACACCCGAGGAAAAGATCATTCTCGCGGAGTTCCTCGACTGTGCCGAGTGTTGGGGGACAGCTATATAAGCCAGAAGCTGTCCGAATTCAAGACGGCTTGTGAAGCTGATGAATTCCAGACGTCCCTTCAGTGAGGGATCAGTCTGTTATATATATTTGAATTTAATTTTGATCTTTCAATTTAAAAAATTGCTCTGGTTGTTGACTGAGAGTCAGCAAAGTTAAGAAATTGTTAAAATTGTCTCTCTTATAAATGTATCTAAATACATTGTATATAGAATGTATTTGTTTCCTATGCATACGGTCTTTCCTGTTTTCTAGTGCTTTTATATTGACAATTAAAATAATTTTATTGACATCTTGTCAATACATGCAAAGTGCACAGTCTGCACTATTTAAAAAAAAAGATAATATGGATTATAAACACTATGTACAATGAATATGGCGCCTCTGCCAGCGCTGCAGAGTTTGGTGGAGAATCGCCAGGGGGTCTCCAGCGACACCACGCATTTCGCGATCTACGAAGAAAACGTAGATCGCGTACTTCGCCGCTGAGGAGATGGTGATGGCGTGGTCCTCGAGACCAACTGGAAAGATCCAGGACTGTAGGTCCGGCGGCCGGCCGATGATGGGAACACCTCTTCATTATATAGATAAAGCATTCATCTTCGGATGTTTATCGGGAAGTTTCATAGTGCTGTAATATTAGTTTATTTCACAAAGGGAATCGATGCGGGAAGTGCCAAGAAGACTATATAGAAATAGAATGGAAAAAAAGCGGTAAAAATACACGTGGCAAGGTGCCGGCCTGGACGTCCAATATCTTGTTATTCCTTGCTGGAATCTATCGAGATATCTTCGACGCTCTTCACCAACGGCATCATCCACTGAGGACATTCGCCTGTTGTCCACACTGGACCTTACAACTCTTCGGCTGAAGTGGTCTACAGAATTTATTTAGAACATCTCACTTTGGGGCTATTCGCTAAGGAATAAAATTAAAAAAAAAATGCTCCAATGGCCCCCGATTCTTGCAAAAGTCCAACCCCCACCAGCGAGTTCAAATAACCAAACGGGCCTCTGGCACATTTGTAAGTGCAAAGTCTAACTGCTTTTCACCTGTGTAGACATGTGGTGCACTTACAGTAAAAGCAGTCGCCTTCTTCTACCCACCATGATTATCATGACCTATACCACGTGTACTGGGGATAAGCAAAAAAAAAAAAAGCGTAGGAATAAAATATATTTGATGTAGATTTACACATTCTTGTTCCACTCTCCGCTTATGGCAGGCACGACTCAGTAGTCCTACCCAAACCAGTATATAAAGAACAACTTTAGGTTATTTAGGTAAGTTGTGCCTGCCGCAAACATAATTCACAGAGTCAAGCAAGCAAACTAAGTTGTATAGAAATCCATATATTTCAATGCTAACTCAACGTCTCTCGAATGTGATTTGATTTAGATATTTTGTTGAACTATTTCAGCCGAAAAGCGCCAGTCAAAAACCGGTGGGTGAAGACCTGGTAATTTGTAATCTTGTCGAGATTTAAGATAGAAGAAAAATAACGGAAGATTTACTCAAAGTGATGGCAATGACGCTACATGTACACAAGACATTAACATTCTTACTGTACGTCTAAAGCGATAAAGGTCACCTCTCCCGTCAAAGTAGACGGCAAAACTAGACGCCATCTATTGGCTGTCGCCGCAAACTAACGGTTTCAGGTCGTTAACAAATCACAACACCACCTTTGGCAAACTGAGAAGTGATCACCTAGAGACCACGGTTTCGGGCTAATGGCCCTCGTCAGTCTAGGGCGGACTTTATTCCATGAGATCCACACGGGATCAAATGGAATCTTCACGATCCGCCAAAGAGGTGTTTAGCTGGTAGAGTGGCTAGACCAAATCTATGGCCAGAATATAGCTGGGGATTTCTGCCGTGAGGAAATTGATCTGTGAAAATAAGAAGAGGCGACTTCTATTTTGTTGGGCTATAAGTTGAAGCTGGACTAGATGATATAATAATGGAAGGAAGTAGTCAATTATCCCACTACATCTGCCGATTGAAATGGATAGATTAGAAGCACGCGGAGTCGACGCGAACAACAGGCAAGTGTTAAGCTCCTTTATTTAGACTAATGGGGGAGGGAGGATGGACTACCCCCTGGGCAGCACGGTGATTGGCTGGCCATGACGTAGTGGTGAGTAAGTCCTCCCCGGCAGAAGTAGGCTTATCCAACGTCTTCATATTTTATAGATCTATTCATCATCTACGTATATCTCCATACAATAAGATGTTGACCGATAGAACAGAGCTTGCATATTAAAAAACGATTTTCTTATCTGAAAATACTGAATGGTATATAGAGGATGCCATAATTGTCAGTTGGATTAATTCAGGCTGAAGACTTCATCAACCTTTTTATAAACGTTTATTGTCCTTTGACGTCTCGGCG